CCAGCTGTTCCACCACCACTCTCCATGGCCGCTCATGGCTCCTGCCGCAGGTGCTGCTGGTGCTCACGTGCTGGTGCTGAGATGCTACATGAGGCTGCTGCTGTTGCTGCTGCTGCTGCTGCTGCTGCTCCTGCTCAGGTGCTGATGTCCTGCTGCTTGCGCTGGCCCGGTTGTGTGTCTCTCTGTGTGTGTATGTCCAACTTGAACGATGTTGCCAGGCTATGTTGCCCCTAGAACCAAGCACGAATCCTGGTTCCGGGAATTTACGTGGGAGGCAAGCCAGGCAAACGCATGCGTGGCATGACTTTAAAACATGACCATCAACACAAGCAGAGCAGTCGAACAACACGTCCTCCTGTCTACCGGAGCAACGAACATGTTCGCACAAGCCGACTCTCAGGCGGAGACCCCTTCCATGCTTCCGCCACTGGCGACCTCGCGGTTGCAGACTTTCAGTGCGGAGCTTATGTATCAGTCCAGGCTGCACACACCATGGAAGCTGTCACCCTCGATTCCAAAGCCTATAGACCTTCATGCGTCAGCTGTGCACAGTGGCAACGGAGCCCCAGCAGGTCTGCGAGTTGGCTTGGGTGCCGGGCATTCAGGCGGGGGCGTGCTCAAAGCCAGGGACTCAGACCTCGGAAGTGCTTGTACACGATTATGTATCAGAAGTGCTTGTACACGAAGCTCGGGACATTTGTATTTCAGGGCCCGGACACACCGTTTCTTTGGACATTAAAACACTGAAACCCTTCAAGCCACAACCCCTGAATGCCTTAAGCCAAAGCCAAAGCCAAAACACCTCAAAGCCACGCCGCCTTAAGCCAAAACCCCTCAAAGCCATGCCGCCTTTTGGCGCCCCCGGCACCCCCTTAAGCCGTGCTCAGCAACCTGAGGTCCTCACCTCCTTGGCATTGTCCTCACTGTTGCGAGGCCTGGCGACGGGTACTCTAGTTAGCACAGCTATGGAGGTTCGCTCAAGTGTCTCAATGCACTCGAGTGAAGAAGCTCGCCGATGCAGTGAAAGGAGAGTGCGGAAACCGGACCTCAACCCCAAACCCCTTCCTTAAACCCTGAACCGCAGCCTCCCCCCTGAAACCCTACACCCCCAGCCAATTTGCTATCGCTAACACTGCGGAAAAGCGAAAACACATTCCCTTTTTGAGGCTCCATGGACCCCCCTCCGCTTTGGAAACCGCCGGGTTGGAAACCGCCGGGCCCTCCGCTTTGGAAACCGCCGGGGTTTGGAAACCGAAAAGTTAACTGGCTGTCTGGGGCCACAACAGCCGAAAAAACCAGAGCTGCCTACAAGTCTTGTTCCCAAATTGTTTTTTTTTATTCAGTCTCCCGCATGCCAGACACCGTCCCACGCTTCCAGGTAATTACGACTCAGAGGCTTCCTGTCCGGGGCTGTGTTTGTGCGTCAGAGGCTGCATGAAGTCTCCTTCTTGCGACCTGGAAGACAAGTGTCAGTTGCAAGTCGGCAAGACAAGTGTCAGTTGCAAGTGCTCCTGGATGTGCCTTGTTTAGTGCGCAGCGTATCGGAAACGGCAGACAGTGGCTTTCAACCACGCGCTTGAGGCCGCAGCTTGTCTGAAGCCGCCGCTGGAGTCTCAAGGCGCGGCCGGGAACTGTAAGACGGTGCTTTCCTGCCATCGCAGAACAACTCTGCTTATCTGTCGGCTTATGACATGCCTTGTAGCCACGCGAATGACTGATTATATATTAGAATCGGTAGCATGGATGTTCTCTGCTTCGAAACTCTTTGCTGTCCTGCATGTGCTACGGGGTGGTCGTGACAGAGACAAAGTGCAGTGACAAGCAAACCCGGCTGCCAGAGTGTCGTACAAAAACAAACGTTTTGTCAAGCGCCGCTGGCTCAGCACTCAGACAGAGAGCCCTGCGAGCTTCGGTTGACCATGCCGACTCAGCGCAGAGACAGAGAGGTTTGCGAGGTTCCGTGCCGGCCGACACCAGAGAAGGAAGCCCCCAAGAAGAGGTTGAGGCGAAGCATCTTGCGCGTGGGCTCGGACTTTGCAGGTCTCGACACAGCTGCATGGGCGTTGCGCATATTGGGCATTCCCTTCGAGCACACATTTGCTGCAGACAAAGATCCTTCCAGCTTCAAGGTGCTTTCCTACATGGGAGCGAAAACAATCTATCGGGATGTGACAACACGTCCGGCGACAGAGGCTCCTTCCGTCGACCTCTATACGTTCGGCCCCCCGTGCCAGCCTTTCAGTGCTGCTGGCAACCGCCTTTCCACAGCAACTCCTGATGGAGTCCTAGCTCTGCACAGCCTGACCTACATCAAGCATCATCAGCCATCTATGATCCTAATGGAGCAGGTCCCAGATGTGCTAAGCCTGGCACCTGATCTCGTCAACCTCCTCTTCCAGGAGCTGGCTGCCTTGGGCTATTCCCTGTCTTCAGAAATCCTCGCGAGCAATAAGTATGGAGTCCCGCAGAAGCGCGAGCGCTTGTTCCTGGTGGGAGTCAAGAATCCTGTGGAGCCGTTTGTGTTTCCGGCAGAAGTGCCCCTGTGGCCAATCAGAAACCTAATTGCTCCACTGCCGCCGGGCAACTTTGCGGTTTTGCCTTCTGCTGGGATTGGCATCAGCGCGCAGAAAGTGGCAAATGTGACTTCTCACATCGAAGGCGCAGTGGCTGAGGGGGTGGACCCCTTCGAGAGGGCGGTTTTTGTGTCTGCGGGCGCGTCCAAAAGATGGTCTCACAAGTCGGTTGACGAGGTCATGACATTGACCAAGACAGAGGCCGCGAGGCAAGGGTACTGGTGCTCTCTGAAAGGTGGGTTCCTGGACACAGACGACGTCGGCGTGCTGCAAGGATTTCCCCGCGATTTGATACCGTGGAGAGACTTGGACATCAGTTCCCCGCAGCAAGCCGGATTGTATGGAAATGCGATGAACCTGGCCGTCATGCTGCACCTGATTCCGCACGTGTTGTGCTCTGCAGGATTTCTGTCCCCAGCTGCGATGAACAAGAAGCTCAAATACGCACGGGACTACGACCCGGGCATTCGCTATCTACCCGGGGCTGTGTGACAGCAGCATCTGAGAGTCAGACAGCAGATGCAATTTTGAAAAGGTCTTCGCACTGCGCAGAAGCCGGCATGCGCGATGCAGGTGTTCTGTGGTGACAGCATATAGTGCTACGGTTTGTGGCTGGATTTGCACGTGCTATGCAATTTGCAGGCCTGCCTGCCGCCATTGTCGCCGCTGTCAGCAGCGCCGCCAGGCCACTTCAGCTTGCCAGCTTTCGTCTTGAGTGGGCGTATTGGTATGGTTTCTTCTATAACACTTGCCAAGGTTGGGGATGCAGGCCGAAACCCTGGGCCCGGAAGCGTCAACTTCGCAGCCGACAAACCCGAAAACCCTGCTGCTACACTGCTACACTTGGTTTTGTTGCTGTTCTATGGTCTTGTCGCATGCCGGGCTCTGGGCCTCAACAAGCTTAGGGGGATTCCGCAAAGATTTGAAGCGTGCCAGGGCGAAACAGCTTCAAGGGTGTTCAGGGTGTGTCTTTTTGTGTGCGTGGGTGTGTGTGTATTATGTGTTTATGGCAGTCCAAGACAGCCCACGCGAGGGTACACTAGCATAACTTGCGTCGCACATCATGTCTATAATGCCGAGCACAGGATCACTTCTCGTAACGTGTTGAGACCACAGCGCGACGACCCCTGCAGTGGATCTGGCTTTGCGAAGAGACCGTTTGTACAGAGAGCAGAGACTCCAGCCATGGAGGTCGAGGGCGACCACCTGTGCCGTCGCTTTGCCAAGATCCATCCATCAGAGTACCCGATACTTTCTGCAGAGGTTGTTAAAGAACTTGACCTCGAGGTCCTGGAGGATGCTTCAGAATCCGTGCAAGGAATGACCTGGCTGCAGTCCAAGGAAGACCAGAGTGGGACGTTCTGCGTAGGCTGCTCTGTATGCGCTGAGATGTTAGCCATGGGCGACAAGGACATCGTGGCGAACTTTGGCATCCGGCACGTCACCGGGCTGAAGCCGAAGCGACTGAAGCAGCACCAGGAAAGTGCAGCGCACGTGGCTGCTGTGAAGCGGCTGCTGCGGCCAGACGAGAAGGTTGGGCAGCCCTTGGTCAGGGAAAACACATCACCTGCTGCGGCCGACTTTGAGGCCATCCTGGCCCATCTGCGCAAAGGCGGAAGCATGCGCCAAGGCATCCCAGGCATTGCACACTTCGCTAAGGCCAAGTGCATGATGTTCCTCCTGGCTGAGAGCACGAAACGCTTGTATCGGTCGTGGATCCGAAGCAGCACCACTATCAACCTTCTCCGAGACGAGCGACATGCTCGTCTTTTGGTGCGGTTTCGGTGTGCAGACTACCGAGGTGTCCGGGGCATCGGCGTTCTGGGACAAGCGCGCGTAGTGCAAGGCACGGCTACCAACATCACCGAGGCAACGATGGCTGTGTTCAGGGAGTTCTGCACCACGAATCACGGTGCGCCTGAGCTGAAGGATGCGGGTCAGGTGCAATTCGACGCGACCTTGTTTGAGCATCTCAGGGACACAGTGCATTCTCTCACGGTCGACGCAGCTGGCAACGAAGTCGCTGCAGGTGAGTGCATGAGATCGGCGAAGTCAGTGACTGCGACGAACGGAGAAGCCTGCACCCCAAACTTGCACACAATAATTCGCGATAAAGCCCACGCTTCTCGCCGCGTTCTAGAGCGGCCATGGTCTTGTGACCCTTACCTCAGCTTCATCGGCAGCTCCTTTCTGTCTGCTTCGAGCAGCCTTGCGCAACTGCTGGAACACTCTTCTGATTATCGTGCCTGGTACCAGGACTTTCGTTCATGTCAGAAGACTGTTTATCTTTTTATGTGTTGGCAGTACATAACCCTTCAGTACATACTTGATGATCACCCCAGAGGATTTTTAGCCCCTGTAGGCAACGAGAGAAAACACATTGGTAGGAATTTCATAGAGAGACCAGGAATGCTCACGAAAGTCCTCCCAGAGCGCAGTGCGCACGACCTTCGGCCACATGCGGGCCGCCAAGCATCGATTCGAGAGCTTGGGTTCTCCTTTGTCGCGCCTTTGTCTGGATTGGGAAGCCTGCATAGGGCTGCTGGTGCGACTGCTGCAGGAACGCCCAGCAGAACCTGCGGGCGTTTACGCTTCTGCAACCCTAGAGGCGCTCGATGAGGAGATGATGCTGCAGTGTGCGCTTCTTGCGGACGCCTGCGATGAGTGCATTGTGCTCATACGTTTTTTCGACGCTGCTGAAGTGGACAACGCGAAGATCGCGCAGGAGGTCCAGCGGTTTTGCAAGCGAATCACGCAGCTCTTCGAAGAGCAGCTGGTGTGGACAACTGAGGGTTACACGAAGCAGACATTGAAATTCCTCGAGGACACGCATCATTTCCTCGTCAGGGGCTCTGTGCTGAGGTCCGTCGGAGGGCCCCGTGCTGTTACCCGGCGCATGAAGACGGTGGTTCTAGAGAGAATGCTGGCGTGGACAGCTCTCGCCCGCGAGGTGGTCGCGGCCGAGCACCCGCACTTCGAGGTTGTCTCCAGCTTTTCGTGTTTTGACCTCCGGGAGTTAGGCACTCTGCTGCAAACCGTTGGGAACGGTTCCTTTCCTGCAGCTTTGACCCAGCCGCTGGAGCGCTTGGCAAGCACATTCCACGTGGACCCTGTCATGCTTTGTGCGCAGTTCTGCGACCATGGCGCGGTCGCAGCCCAGCGCTTCAAGGACACCGGCTGTGGCAATTTGGAGGCTTGGCAGCATGCGCTACAGGTCACATCTTCGACGTCTGCACGGTCGCGGCACCCGGCATGCCAGCTTGAAGTGGTGCTTGCGGAATATGCTGCCATGACAAGTTCTGACTCGATCATAGAGCGCGATTTCTCTAGGGTGAAGCGCATCCTCAGCGACCAACAGCTGCACGCTGGCCCAGGGGTGGAGAGCGACACGGTGCTGCTGGCTGTGGCAGACCCCGAGCACGACAGAGAGGTGATTCAGCAGGCCCGAATGCTTTGGTCAGAGCTTTATGCTTCCAGCCGGAAACGTCAGCGACCGAGATTCGATCGTGGCGTGGCTCGCCCACTCAAAAAGCTTTGCCGCGCGGAGGATGTCGAAGAGAAGCCCACAGAGACAGAATTTCGGAAGCGCCGGCGAGCTGACAAAGATGCAGAGCAGGCTCCAGAAGACAGCATTGTGCCAGCTGACCCGGCCAACGCATGGACAAGCAAGCATGACAAGGAGGTGGCCTTCAACAAGGAGAAGGGCCTTAGCAGGCTGTTCGATGCCTTGCGGAGCAACACAGTGCGGGTTTCCGAGCTGCCGGAGAGTCTTCTGGAGATGGCCATTGCACACTTCGACAAGATCGAAAAGAACATGCAAGCTCGGGAGCGCGCCGAGTCTGCACGCTCCCGGGCTGTTGCACGCATCTGCCCGTCCGAGGCGTCCTTGGAAGGCTTGTCGGTGTGGGTGCCAGACGAGCTGCGCAGTGTTCTGCTGGATGATGCCATCGAGCGACGTGGCTGGGACGTGACGCAAGAGCTTCACACCGCCAAGGTCTTGATTCTGCGAGATCTCGCGAACCTATGCGACCTGCATGCTGTAGCAGCTGCGCTGAACGGGGCCTGGGTTGTGACTCCGCACATGACGATTATGAACCAGGGTACATGTCTGAAGTTGAAGCCCGGCATTCGCACCAAGCGCAGCATCTTCATGACTGACGATTTTCAAGCTGCGCATGCACCGCTGGCCGCGCTGCTCACGGCCATGCAGTGCCGGACGCTTCAGCTAATCAGCTCGATTGATGATTTCGCCGCTGCGAAGCAGCTGGCTACGAACAGGGGATGCCCCGCATCCGTCATCGCTCTTATCCATGGCTCAGAGCGAGATGTGTTCCAAGGCATCGCTCACTGTTTCGAAACTGAGCAGTTTCGTGAATTCATTTGGCGCCTGGATGCTGCAAGCTCCTGCCCAGGCCTCTAGATTGGTATTCCAAGCCATCGCTCACTGTCACGAAACTAAGCAGTTTCGTGAATTCGTTTGGCGCCTGGATGTTGCAAGCTCCTGCCCAGGCCTCTATATAGATTGGTAGGCATCCTCCGGCTTTTCAGGACCAGTCACGCTAGCGGGCTTCTCCAGTGCCGTGGGATGCGTCAGTGTCGTTTCACCAAGAGGGGTATCATGGAGGGGAAGAAATATTTGGGCCAGACCGTTCTTTTCAGGATGTGTTTGTCAGCTCTGATTCCTCCTGCTGCGAGAGAGCGTGAGCCATAGACTGTGATGTTTGGTATGGCGGCCAGGCCTTGGCGTGCTTCCTTGGCGACTGCCAGGCGAGGCACTTCTCGTTCTACGGGGTGGATAGGAGGGGAAGAGAATAGAAAGGTTTGGGTCAGATCGTTCTTTTCAGGATGTGTTTGTCAGCTCTGCTTCCTCCTGCTGCGAGATATCGTGAGCCATAGACTATGATGTTTGGTATGGCGGCCAGGCCTTGGCGTGCTTCCTTGGCGACTGCCAGGCGAGGCACTTCTCGTTCCGGGTCAATGCAGCGTGCCGGGTTTTTGGCATCATCTCCCGGGCAATGAAATCTCTCGACGATCGAAAACGAAATCCTGGTGATGAATCCCTCACGGTGTGTGCCTTCTTCGAGAGGCTGCGAGTCTCAAGTGCAATGAGAGTCAATATAAACGAATCATGAACAGACAGGTGCACCATTCATGATTGCAGCTGAACCTGCCGCGACCCGACGGATGCTCATGATGCGCGCTGGTGGGAGCTGTTTGCTAAGAGAAAGAAAGTGAAAGAGAAGGGGAGGGAGAGAGAGAGAGAGAGGGTGCACCCTCTCGTAGCCACAAGCAAGCAAGCAAGAGAGAGAGAGTCCATTATGTTATTCATGTCACCTTGCTTTTTTTACCACGGGGGACACGGAGCATGAATGTGGTAAGCTTGCGATAAAGTGCGAGCAAACCCACCGGAGCCGGCAGCCGGCTTGCAGATGAGGCCAGGGGGTTGCTAGTTTCTAGGGGTTACAACAGTTGTGAAAAAGGGGGCCGCATCTGCCAAAGAAGTCTTACCTCAGACACTGACGAACAGGGCGCGTGCGCGCGCGGAGTGGGTAGGGCCGCCTGCCTGCTCTTGTCTGTGTGGAAAGGAGAGAGAGGGGGGAGAGAGAGAGAGCAGGGAGAAGGGGAGGGTAGGACAGGGAGGAAGGAAGCTCATGGGTTAAAGTTGTGGGAAGTTGTTCTGGGGCACCTTTGATCTTTGGTCTCGGGTGGGTTTCAATATAAATATTGAATCATACAGAAACCCAGGCGGTGCATGTAGGGTTAGGGTGGAAAAATATAATATGTCGAGGTAGGTCAGGTAGGTTCGGGAGGTATAACGTATAATATCACACGTGCTTGGTTTTGTTTGTTCAGTCATTTATTCATTTACCTAGCTATTTATGTATTTAGTTATGTGTCGTTTGTATATACTTGAATTCATAATTATCATTGCTTATTTTCATATTTATATGCACCGGAAGACATGCAGGCAGCTTTGAAATCATACTGCTCGTAAGCTGTATAAAGAGTCCAAGAGTCCAACACGTGTAGTTGGCTTATCTCAGGAGCCAAAGCATGGAGCTTGTTTGCAAGCAAAAACGTCGCAAGGACAGGCCTCCGTGCACAGGCACCAAACCCTGCCAAAACGGAGCGGGCACTAATCCCAGCCTTGGTGTAACAATACATTGCCAAAGCCGGTCAGTCATGAACTTCCGGATGCCTTGCAACCAAAGAGACCTTCCTGGGAATGCTTACCATGAGGACCACTGACCCTGTACCAAGAGGTGTTGGCCATTAGCAGGAGCCCACAACGAGCACACATGCGATGGAATGAGCTAGAAGGCTTTGGCCATGTGTTGGTTGAGGGAAGGCGGTTCGCTGTCTAGCCAGCCTCGGCTCCACAATTTAGCCTCATAAGTTGTCGGTTAAGCAAGTGTAGCCTAGCAGTCTTGGCTGAGTGCACGTTGACTTGAGTTGACCCAATTTTGTTTTTAGAAAACGAATGCTCGAAGTTCATCATCCTGCATGCTCTTATGTAAACTGTATTATAATTGTGCCAGGCAGACTGACACAGCACGTGTGCTGGCCTAAGCAAGTTTTGGATGAGATCTTTGGTCGATAAGGCCTAATTCCATACTTCAGTCAGGCATGGCGTGAGCAAGACGGAAGACCACCGTCCGGAAGAACACCACGTGAGCCACCAGGCAAGCCACCACTCTTCACACAACGAAGGTCATCACGGCCATGCTCTCCACCAAAGCACTTTTCACCACCCTCCACAAATTCACGACGGCGATGGCCATTTGCGTCATCAGGAGCATTTTCGTCACCCTTCACACCTGCACCAAGGTCATGCCCATGCATGCCATCAAGGCCATTCTCATGTTCGGGGCGGCTACCAGGGCCATGCCATGTCTTCTAATGAGACTGTGCGCCCAAGGCCAACTAGGGCGCACACAGTCCCACTGCCTGGCAGCCATCCATAGTTGGCCTTGCCATGCGGCAAAATTCTTGGCCTGTCTCCGTGCGAAGCATCGACCTGGCCAGCGAGACGCGATGCCAAGAAAGCATCCGAAGTTTACAAATCGCAACAGAAGTCAGTAGGACATATAACGAGGCGAAACACTGCATCTTCAATCGAATAGTTTCAGGTGCAGTGATGGCACTCGGCAAGTGCCGACAACTGTTACAACACCTTAATGCGTCCTGTGCACTTCGAAGTACATTCTGACCTGGTGTCTTGTATACAGCAGTTCTACAGCGCTGCGCAGACGGGCAGACGTCCTCCCTCCATCTGCATGCTGCACATGCATCTACCAGTGTTGTTCTTTGTGGAGTTGTTTTTTTAACGGCCGCTACCAGGACCACTGCTACAGCTTGCGAAGGTGGTTGAGCACTCTTGTGACAAGCCCCGGAAACCGTGGCACTTGCATCTGAATTCCGCAGCCAAGTATGCATTGACTTAAGTGCTGCGGCGGCTGCTCGAGTCTGGCGCTGATCAGATGGTGTGATGCTCAGGTTGGAAATTGAATCGGGGACACACAACACGTCAGAGATTCTTCAGGTACAGAAGACGTTGAAGCTGAACAAGCAGAAGCAGCCAAAGACCCACAAAAATCAGGCATCCGGGTTTGCAACTTGACAGCATCGCGTTGACGTCAGGACGTGGGGCTCTGCCTCAGCAAGAATTCCGCTGTTATCGCCTGACACTTCTGTTCCAAACCAGAACGATCGTATCAGGGTCATCGACAATTTACGCCGTTTGCGCCCACATGATCGCATTTGCAAGATTATGCAAGTTGCGCATACCCCTTCGGCCGCAGACCCTGTGTCGACCGTCCACAGACATGTTCTGCATCTGCCTGGGGCGCCGCCCGAACGCTCCTGGAATGCCTTCCAAACGGCCTGGTCGTGCGGCTTCCAAGAAAGGCCATGAGGGATTGCTGTCCCCCTGCCAAAAGGGCGGGGCCCAGAGGGTCCCCATGCGCCGTGAACCAGTCCTATCCGTGGCCCAGCAATTCTTCGAATGTGCATAGGGCATAGAGGGTTGGCCGTAGGACCCGAGACAGGGGCAACTCCCGCAGTTTTCGCAAGGCAACAGATGCATGGAGAGTCGCAAGCACTGCCGTCGAGCGAATGGTTGCACTGCTGCTCCAGCCCTCGCATCGCATGGTCGGGCTGGTACGGCTCCATGGCCTCGTCGAAAAGACGGGCGGGCATGCAACAAGCGACAAGCGCCAGACCAGCGGGCGGCGGCAGTGACGCCTCGGACCTTGCCGTTTGCCGCAAGATTTTTCATTTTCGGTCTGCTCGGGGGCAGGCTCGTAGCTGCATCGGTCCGCAAGCTGCCTCGGAGTGCTCCAAGCGCACGGCAGCCACGGCGCACCTCTTCGGACCCCTACTTCGGTGTGCGGGCTCGCGACGGCCGCCTGCGAGCCTTATGGGCTGGCAGCCGACACCGCCTGGACATGCCCGAACGATCCTGGACGGTTCATGCGAATGCAGAAGGGCGAAGGGGAAAACACAAACATGACGATGGCTACTTCATGCTGTACTTCTATAGTACTGCGAATGCTACTCGTCAACTCAAATCATGTCCTGCAATCCATTTGTCAGCCTCTTGCAGGAGGAGCACAGAAAGAACTGGAAATTACAGCTACACATGCTGTCGAAGTACGCTCGAGTATGACATAAGCTCGTTGTCATTCATGAGCACCGACGTGTTGATCAAGCAAATTCAAGAAGTGTTGTTCAGCGCGGTACAAGCATCACAAGCGGTTTTGGCAGCCTCGGTCGCGACGTGATCGAGTGTGTGTACGTGCTCAGAGCAACTGTCGGATCCATTGAATTGAACTAAAGCGGGTCCGTGTGATCCATGTGCAGCACAAAGTTCATGAGCACGGGGTTCACTAGCAGGGATGATCGCGAAAAAATCGAGATGAGGACTTCACTTTGAACCGCGTGTCCGAGTTGTCTTTCATTGGCTCCCAGATTCATTTTGGAGCTGAAGGAAAGGTGATCTTCCACCAGAGGCGCTGGATTGTGCGTCAGCTTCAGGAGGGCAACTGGGTTCACCTTCGCGGCCAACAGAGCTTGCCGCAAGCAGAGTCTGTCGGTACCGAGAACAAGGAGGACCCCGGCTTTGCAAAGAGGAGGCGGTGTCAGCACCAAAGCGCCCAACAACGACGAGACTCGCCCGTCGCGCGCTCGCAAGCTCGGGATGCGTTTTGCGCAGAATGCGGCCTGGACTGCCGCGCCAGGGCGGGATTCGGCGCCCGGCTGCGGCTCGCCGGCCGTGGCCGGCGAGACTGACGAGAGTGGCGTCAAGCTCGAGCTGCGCCCCGTGCCAAAGGGCAGGCCGTTGGCGACGACCTCAATGATCTCAATGTCGTTTACGGTTCATGTCTGCGACCCTCACGTTGCGTGCAACTCGCGTGCCGAACAGACGCGGGCGACAGCAGGCTCGAGCGCACTTTGACACCCCTCCATGCCATCAGCCACGCGTTCTGCCCCCCACCTCACACCCACAACCGAGCTAAAAGTTATGTCTTTGCCAAGGCGGGCCGACGGCACCACAGGGCAGCTTCGCTCATCGCTCATCGGCTCCTCTCCCTGCTTCGACTCGGGTGGGTGGGTGGGTCTGGTGGTGGTGGTGGTGGTGGGGGTGGCGGCGGCGGCGGTGGTGGTGGTGGTGGCGGTGGTGGTGGTGGTCGTCGTCGTAGTAGTAGTAGTAATAGTGTGGGCCAGAGTGGGGGCTGGAGGCACCCGTGGGAGGTTGCCCATAATTTGGTCGCGTGTTTCCTGGTGCGGGGGCCAAATGATGTGACATCACCACGCACGCCTGCCATCCAAGAGTTGCAAGCCCATGTGCTGCACTCGAGCACAGGGCTTGCAATGTTGATGCAACTCATTGACGAGCAGGGTACCGCAAACCCAATGGCGCCAAAACTGTGGTAACGTGGTGCCTTCATGTGCCTTCCGAATCTGAATCTGTAATATTTAAATGAGCCACTCGCTTTTCGCGCACGATCACGCAGTTGTGGGATCGTAGGTAGTTCGTCTGTCTTCTGGGAGCGCAGCCTGCTTTTGCAGACGGGAAAAAGTCCGAAAAAAAACACATGCATCTCATTTGTAATTTGGCGATTTCCATCATAGATCTAAAACACCCCCTTCCCTCCCTCTGACTACACGGCTTGTTACTGTACAAAAGAGCCCTCAAGGGGCAGCCTCCGGGCATTCAGGTTTGACTTGACTTCATATATGCTAGAGACGCCCCAGCATCCGGTTTTTGTTGACCACCATCGGACCACCGCAGCTGAGTATGAACCTTCTGCGCTGTATTGCGGTTATCCGAGTTTTGTGCTCAACGTGCGCAACCGTATACGCATGCGCATACTGCTGTGCAACATCGTGCAACCTATCTTGCACCATCTTGCGTTCACAAGGAACGAACCCTCGCGGACCTCCGCAGTTGCGTTGCCACGATAACGTATGCCTCTACACCGACACAAAGAACCGTTGCGGACCACCGCCGTTGCCTAGGTATCGCTGTATAGTCTCTAGGTCGTGCGCTGTAGTCTTGTTTTCACATTTTTGCGCTACCTCTTGAAAAGCTCCGCAGACACCGCTGCATCTCGCCTCGACCCTCGCGGGCCACCGCAATTGCTTATCAGACGTCTACTTTTTGTCTTGAAAGAGAAACATGCCACCGTTTCAAGAAAAGAAACATGCCACACAGAAATGAGGGAGCGACAGAGAGAGAGCGAGAGAGAGAGAGAGAGAGAGAGAGAGAGAGAGAGAGACAGACCCGGCGAAAGAAAGACAGAGACAGAGAAACAGAGAGAAATCGGGTGGGCAATTATGCCCGGGGGCTTTGACCAGCCCCGAAACCCCGAGAGAGAGAGAGAGAGAGAGAGAGAGAGAGAGCGAGAGAGAGAGACAGAAAGAGACACGGACCAGCAGAACGAGCGCAGCACATCGCGGCACCACCGCTGCGCTGCATGCCGGAGGCGGAACCGCCAACGCCGCTAGTCATGGAAAATGCTTTGCTGCACCCCTGCTCATAGTTTGCACTACTCATATTGTGGCTCTTTGTTTCAAAGCGACAGTGCTCTGCAGTATTTTCACATTTCTTTAGGAAATTTCTGTGCCTTGCGCTGTGTTGTCACTGGCCACAATGCTCTGACGTGCTGCAGTCTTGCGGATGCAATTGTTTTCCTATTTTTCCCTGTTTCTACCAATGTTCTCCATTATTTTCTCATGTCTTGCGTCCTGAGCCGCATGCTATGTTTTTTTGTTTTGTTTTTTCTTTTATGCCGCCCTGCTGCATGAACGCCATTGTCGCGCAACAACCCAGCAGTGGAAATAGGCAAGACTCGGCAAAACGGCTTTGAGAAGGCTGGTGCACACGCTTTTTTAATGTTTTTACAAGTTTTTTTTACGAGTATATGCATTTCGACAATAGCGAAACGCTAAGGGAAATCGTTGAGTTGTTTGTGTATCGTAGGTTCCCATAACGTACGGCAACCATGTTCTGCTCTGCAGCGTCGAACTGGTAACTTAAAACTCTAAGTAGTCTACTTGCATGAGGCATGGGTCAAACGTTCATCTTGTAACATGCGTTCGCCAAGTGAAAAATTCGTATACGTTGTTCTAGGTAAGCGATCTGTCGCCGGCCCAACTCGTTGGCGGGGAGGAAGCCGACCTGGTGTGCTGCATCCCACTCCCGCCCTCGCGCAGCCGGCTCCGCCAATGGACCGTTGCCCAGACGTCTTGCAATATGAACCCTGTCTGGCTCAAGCGTTTTCATTGCGACGGGGTACCCCCGGGCGACCGGTGGGTATAGAGCCCAGGGGCGCATGGAGCCATGGTTCGCCTTTGCTTGGAACCTGGCCCACTTGGCCGTGCGCACGGCCAGCCAAGCAGCTCCGGCCCTTGAGGCCCTTGCGCAGTTGCCCCCCACCTGTTGCGACGCACTGGCACATGCAGCACTGGTCTGTGCCGGCGCCACGCCAGCATACTGCCCGCCCGGCTGCCGCCGCCACCCCGAGTTCCCCTCCACCGTGGCATGTTGCAGCGACGCACGTCCTGTCGTGTGCGGCCGG